AGTGAAATAAACGTGCAACCATGTAGAAGTCTCTGTGGCAAACACCGCGCCGTAAGTTTGAGCTTCAGTTTTAGGTAAACATTAATAGGTAGTGTTAAAAATCGTGAGCAGTACTTAGAAGACGCTCCAGGCGTGTTATTCGCACACTCCACAGAGTCAGTATATTATACTGTAATACTCTATATAGGTGATCCGAGTTCTAATGTTGGACTCGATGGCGTATAATTGTACACCCCAATTTTTTGTATACAATAATATTTATTAAAATAAATATACATATCATCAGCCTAATTCGCAATTGACTTTCTTATAGACATTTTTTTTTTTGATAAAGGTAGATAATCTTATAAGGAATCTTGTATTCCATTTTCAAATCTTAGATTTAAAAAGAAAAATTTTTACGAATTCTTAACTCAAAATAATTTGCTAATTTTCGTGATTTTTCCATATTTTGTCAATTTTTGAACTTTAATAATGATTAGGTATAAAAAAAAATTGTGACAAAGGATTTTTAATATTTTTCATCTGCCTTTGAAACAATATACTAGGAGCCTTCTATTAAATTTTCAACTTTTCGCAACCAACAAATACAATTTTAATTTATAATTTGTTAACTGCTAACTTTTAACTAATCGATCTTGTGTCCTCTTAACTTAATTTAACTTGAGTTAATTATTTTCATTAATTTGCCCACCTTTGGTTTTTGAGTATATAAGCTACACACATACATTTGGTTTTAAGATACTATATAGTTTCTTTCTTCGAGGCCATATTATAACCGAGAATTCAATGACAATAAAGTTTATATGTCAAAAAAATTTCAAAAATACTAATTTCTACTATAACTATTAAATCTGTAACCAATGGCCACCATTTATAAACAAAAGAAAAGTTTCAATTTCCATTATTTCAATTATTATAAACGTCGAGGAATTTAAAAACGAGTTAATAACTGTTTAAAAAGGCGTTGGGATAAAAACTAAAAATAAACAAATAAGGCAAATAAAAAACAGAAAACCAACAACAACAAAAAATACGTGTTCCCTTCTGGCGCATTAACTTTTTGAACATAGGCACATATTATGCATTTACGAAAATTCAGTAGTAATTGGATTTTTTAAAACTAATGTTCGGTTAGATTTATGTTTTTAAAGCAAAAAAGCACCTGTGTTTTATTTTTTACATGTAAGACGTGATCACATACCTACTATGGCACTTTATTACTGTTTGCAGTTAAAAGTTAAAACAGGGCTTACATTTGAAAAAAAAATACCGTTATATCCCTAAGATAAAAGTCAAGTCATAATAATTATTTATTTCTATATTATTAATAATAATTAATTATGATAAAATGTTATAGTTGTAGGTATAGGTAATATGTCCTTTACGGTTCCTAGCCAGTGGATCGTACCTATCAACTTGATATTGATAACGTTAGATCATCAGCAGATGTATCGCTGAAGAGGACGCTACACACCCATTTTATATGTAATAAAACACGTTCATGCTCTATGCGTACAGATTCCTTTGTATTAATCGTATAAACACAATTGTCACAGATTATGAAAGATGGGAAAATTTACTCAGTCCGAGCGTTGAGTTTTTGTTATAAAAATTTTTTTTTTATTTTTTTTTTTTTATATCAAAATTTGAAAATTTACATTTTTTAACCACATATTTTTGGATAGTAACAAAAAAGGTATCGAAAAAAACTCCACGCTCGGCTGTAGTTAAAATAACTAACTTTCAGATGGTGGAATAACATTTTATTTATATTAATTATTATTCAAATTGTGGTTATAGAGCGAAAGTTAGTTTGAATTAAAATAATATGAAAATCTTGCTAGGCCGTACGTGGTATGTGCTGCCACAGAAATACAGCGGATAGTATATAGTACTCGTATATTATACAGGACGGCTGACGACGGAATTACGTCACTATATTATATTCTAATTTCAGCAATACGGGCGACGCGACGACTTGGTGTTATCTGAGTTTCCAATAACTAATTACAATTATGGTCTGCGACCGGTAAAATAATAATATTATATTATTCTGGGTAAAATAAAATAAGTCATGTATGGAACTATAAAAGTACTCTACCTAATAGGCGTTTTCAGTACCAAAAATAAGCAATATAGCCCAGGCCCCCAATTTAGACGTCGAGTCATCAATAACATATTTTAAATAGTTTTATCATTTACTTTCCAAGTGTTCTAGAAGAAGGTACTATAATTTTGTGTTCTGTTATTCTCTAAATTGAACAATATTGTTTTTTTTTTAATTAAATTATAATGGGAGGCTCAAAAAAATCACATGGTTATACAAGTACGCATTATCGATGTAAATCGAAAGCAATTTCAGCTAGAATGAAAGCAATTCGCTCAAAAAAGAAGTAAGTTTATCTAAATGTCCATATGATATGTGATATGTATACAAATATACAATTTTATTGTTATTTATGTATTGTGCAATCCATAATAAATTACAGCATTAGTTCAATAAACAACCAACATTCGGAAGAGGCAGCTGAAATAATAATTACAAATAGTATTGATATATTTTCAAATGATAATACAATGTAAGTATAAAACTAAAAACAAATTGTAAATTGAATTGAAAATTGTACCATGCATAAAAATAATAAAATAAACATTTTGTGAAAATTTCTAGTAACTACGGTTATTCCTTTTTGAATTATAATAAAATAATAAAATAGTTAATTTACGGGTGAATGAATTAAATTAAATTAAATTCATCAATCAAATGTCGTAACAATTTGAACTTCATACGCTTAAATTTGACGTTCCGGTAAGCTTTTTTTTAGAAAAACTTACGAGGGTTCTTGTATTACATTTTCAAACGTTAGCTATGAAAAGAAAAACTGTTCTAAATTTCTAACTAAAAAATAATTTGCACATTTTCACGATTTTTACGAAATTATAACAATTATTGTAACTTCTACTCCCTTTTAAATTATTGTAGATTTACACTCAAATTTTTTTCTTATTACATTTATAACTATTTATAAGGACCCTTGTATTCAATTTTCAATTTTTATGAACCAGCGATTTATCGAACATAATTGATCAAAAAACTTAAAAAAATCGACAATTTGTCATAGTTATAAACAGCTCAAAAAGAGTCATAATATTATGAATATTTTATTATGATTCATCACCGTATACCTAATATCGATTTTTAGGTCGTATACAAATCCGTTCGAAAAATTATAATCAATAATCCTTGTTAGCACGTTAGTCCGTTACTAAGTTACTTTTTAAGCTAAAATCTAAAAATAAAAAAATCCCTTATTTTATTCTTAATCGCACTAAAAACCTTATAAGGTTTGAATATGAAAAAAATACATAAAAATTGAAAATTATCAAAAAATACAAAATCTAATAAATGTAACTTTTTATTCTGATTCAAAAATACATGAAACACGTTCGTATAAAACGAGCTTGGCGTATCTAGGAAAACAATGGGAAATGCATCGAAATCCCGTCCCTCTTATAACAGTAAACTGCTATTGTGTCTTTGTTTTTTTATTTTGTAAGCATAATACTAAAATCACAAGACATTCAATTCCGATGCAACTTTTAAGTATCTTTAAATTTGTCTAGGGAACCTATACTAACTAGCACTCCTATATCATTTTATAAATCACATGCAAATGCTCAGCAACCTAGTACCTCATTTGATACACCAGCTGATACAATTTTAACTATGGATTCTATTATTGATCAAAATTTGTATGTGGAATCGAGTAATAAATCCTATGAACCTATAGTTTCCAAGTAAATAATTTATTAAATAATTTATTTTAAATGTTTGACCAATTATAATAAAATAATTTGTATTTATTTATCGATTGTATTAGAAGTCTTGAAGGTAGAAGGATTGTCGATATTGAATATTTTATTAACCAGATTCAAAAAAGACATGAAGGTGGATTCAGATGTTCTTTTATTGATATGGAATACCAATCTGAAATAATTCAAGGTTTACAATCAATTCTATATTTCAAGTGCAAAATGTGTAATATAGTGTCAAAATTGTATACCGCTAATATTTCGAATATCCAGTCCATATCAGTCAATAAATCAGTTGTAAATGCATGTCAAGCTATAGGTTTGCATTTTTTATACTATATATTATAACAATTATTTATCATTACCAGGTCTGTGAACTTATTTCACTAAAATAGTAAACAATTTTAAATTGTACAACCTTACAGGTAAAAATATAGTAATATATTTAAATTACAACAAAATAACTAAAATTGTTACTCATCATTTAAATACCTCATTTCGTCCCAAATATGAATTTAGATTTTTGGGAACTACTAATGAGATACCTTGTTATATTTTTTTATCTTTATAGCTATAACAATTGTAAATTTTATAAATTTGTAACCACGAAATAATTTGCTAATTTTCAACATTTTGAAGAATTTTGTCAAATTTTTAACTTTCAATACTTATCAAGAAAAATCGTGATTATGTATCTTTAATATTTTTTAACTTAAATATTTTGATCGAGCTAAAACATTTTTATCGACAATAATTAAAAAAAAATTTTTCCACTTTCCCAAAAATTGCTAAAGTTGAAAATCGAAGAATTATTTTTACTAGAAATGCAAAAAAAAAACCATTTTTCACAATCAATATACATACACTTTTAAATGTTGTACTTATATATATATATACACCATATAACTATTCATATCTATAGTAACCAATTAAATATGGATAGGTATATAGTGTAATTATAGTGTATATACTATATACACTATAATTGCACAGTCATATTTAGCTTTAAACAATAAATTTGAAATGTATAGGTTAAATAATATAAGTTTAAATTTAGGAATTGGACATACTCAGTTGAACGAATTCACAGCATTTTTAGAACTATACCATCATTGTCATGTAGTAGTTATGTTAAAACACAGGCTTCTATAGCCGAAATTGTTCACGATACTGCATGGGAAGAAATGAAAAAGGCTGGCGAGGAAGAAAAGAGAATAGCTTTAGACTGTGGTGATATAGATGTTGATGGTATTCCTATGATTACAGTAGTTGCGGATGGACAATGGTCCAAACGGAGCTATAAGACAAAGTATGACGCGTCATCTGGTGTTGTAAGTTATTTTAATTTGTACTCAATATAATATGTATGTGGATCTGTTAATAGTTATAGTTTATTAATTACATTTTAATCTAACAGGCAACAATAATTGGCCATAAGACCAATAAAGTTTTGTTTGTTGGTATTCGCAACAAATATTGTGTTGTTTGCCAGAGATCAGCGTCGAGAAAGGAAGTTGTAGAACACAAATGTTTCCTAAATTGGAAAAAATCGTCCACGAGTATGGAAGCTGATGGTGTGGTTGAAGGCTTTTTAAAAAGCCTGGAAATGCACGGACTGAAGTTTAATCGACTAATTGGTAAAATAAAGATGACAGACCTTTTTTGCATAATAGCTAGATATTTTTTTATTTAACAATATTTGTACCGTGTTTTGATGTAGGGGACGGAGATAGTAGTGTAACAAAAAGGCTCCACGAAATTCAGCCGTACGGACCAAACTTTTATATAAAAAAAATTGAATGTTGTAATCATTTGCTACGAAACTATATAACTAAGTTGACTACGTTAGCTAGGAATTCAAAATATCCACTTCGTGTCCGCAAATTTATATTAAAAAACATTTTTCGGTTCCGGTCTGATGTCACTAAAGCTGCCAATCATTGGAGACATTTAAATGGTTTAACTATATCTCAAAAAATGAAAGGTGAGTGTATTAATTTTAAATTTTTAAATTTTTATTATTAATAGATTTTAGTCGGTATATTGATTATTATACTTATTTTTGTGAAAGTTAAGTTAGTAATAATTATTTACATATTCAGGAATTCGAAAAGATTTGAGTAACGGTCCATTTCATCGCTTAGGTGATCATACCAATTGTGAAACTTATTTTTGCGATTCAAAAACCAACGAAAGGAATCTAGTTCCAGAAGCTGTCGGTGGGGGCATTATGTCTGAAATTCAAAATTGTGTGTCGAGATTAATTGTTAATGCCGAAAGTTTATTGGAAAATAAAGACAACAATATTTGTGAACAATTTAACTCGCTAATTAACAAACACGTTGCTGGTAAAAGAATTAATTTTTCTAGTCGAGGGAACTATAATACACGTGTTGAAGCTGCCGTTGTATCATTTAATAGTAAGCAATTTTTACGAAAGCTTCACAAAAAGATGACAAATAATTTCAGTCCAGGTATGTCTATTATAATTATTTAAAATTATTTAATTCAATAATAATAATTATAAAAAAAGTGGGTCACTTTTATGGACGGTATTAATTTTCAATTCAATGATATAATATTATTGTATACGAAAAACGATTCTGAGACTTATCAAAATAATTTTCAAATATTGTCAAAATTCAAACTTATTAAGTCGCACATAAAAATTATTATCGATTAACGCTCAATTTTTTCTTAATTAATTAATTAATTAATAAAAATTTACATTTTCAAGGTTTTTGACCAAAATGTTTCTATCGACATCAATTAAAACAAAACTAATAATAATTGAAAAATGCATATGCCTATAAATAGCTCAACATTAGTTAAAATATTATTAAAATAAAATGGTGTATAGAAAACGCTAGTATAACCATTCAGTGAAAATTGTGTCTAAACCAATTTTTTTTAGAGTAGACCTAATACCAAAATCGATTTTGCTTAAAAATTTCAGTTTTTCCATAATTTTTTTTTTCTGTTTTACCTTGCGCATTTGAAAATTATTGGGAATTTTAAATTTTGACCTTCTGAACGCACCAACTAGATTCACTTTAACATCGGAAAAGATACTAAAGTTGAACATCGAAGCATTATTTCGACCACAAAAAAAAATATTTATTTAAAACTTTTCATTGTAAAATCAATACATTCATTGCTCCGCTTAGATTCTAATATCAACAAATAACAATAATGTATAATATACCTAATCACAGAATTTCTTTAATAATAAAAACAAATACTTGATAAATATTATACAACCGATTAATCATGTTTTTTATAGGAAAATTTGGAAAAAAATATTTAAAAAACCATAATAGAATAGTTGGTAACACTAAACGAAGACGAGCATTATTCCCTGAAACCCGTAAGTTTAAAAAAACTCGTACAGATAACGGACCAGATGAGGACTATGGTTTAGCTGAGCCTTTAGTCGACGAGATATCACCAGAAATGTTTGAAGAAAAAAAAAATCAATTCCTTGTTTCATTAAAAAACTCAAATATTGATGAAATTGAATCCAATACTCGAGATCAAACCAATAGTGAAGCATGGTACAGAGAACGCAGATTACGTCTTACGGCTTCTCGGTTTGGTCAGATTTGTAAAATGCGTAGTACTACAAGTTGTAAAAACACGGTTTATAATATTTTATATGCATCTGAAGCCCAATCAAAATCGTTACAATATGGTCGTGACATGGAGGATATAGCTCGAAAAGAAGCTCAGAAAATTATTGGTGAACAAATTCAGGCCATAGGTTTGATAGTAGACCCGATAATTTCATACCTAGCTGCTAGTCCAGGTATATAATTATTCAATTGTAGTTCATATAAATATATAATATATGATATAAATATATATATATATTATAATATGAATAAAAAATATTAATTTAATTGTTTCAACATATTTTTAGATGGTTTGGTTGGAAGTAATGCAGTTGTAGAAATAAAATGCCCGTTTGTAGCACAAAATACTGTTAGTGCAGTTGACGCAGTAGAAAAAAAACTCGTAAGATAAAAATTTATTGTAAAAATATTATAATCTGATATGTTTATTGTTTTTAAATATTTTAGTTACAATATTGCAGTTTAATTAATAACAAGGTTGTACTAAAACACGACCATGCATATTTCTTCCAAATCATGGGACAGTTACATATTTCACAGAGAGAAATATGTTATTTTATAGTATACACTTCCAACTGGATCCATGTTGAAAAAATCCAATATGATAACCATTTTTGGGAAACTAAAATGGCAAAACCACTACAAACGTAAAGATTCTATCATAATATTATTTTTATTCCAATAACAATATAACGTCAAAATGCAAGTAGATAAGTTTTTAAATGATACAATCATATTATTTTTCTTAGATTTTACTTGGAATGTTTGTTACCGGAATTAATAGACCCTCAGTTTCCAAAAAGATTGTTGAAATCGGACATTCGAGAGCCTGTCCGAATTCAAAATAGTATAAAAAATCAAGAAAAAAAAAGAAGATATAAACACATTATTTATATAAAATTTTAATTTTGTTCCTAATTCTATAGATAAAACGTATAAGTATAATAATAGTGTTTTTCTTGTGTGTTGTATTATTACAAAATTATCTTTTATTGTTGCTTACGTCCGGTGGGCAGTGGGATTTTAGAGAATGCCATACTAAACGAATATACACTATACCAGGATATTTTAGGTATACGGTTAGAATAATATAATACAAATTATTCAGATATTAGAATTAAGAACGTTTTACAACTAAGATTAAGAAAGGAGGTATAGGTACCTACAGACGCAATTTTTTTTAATTAAATTTTATTTTATTACTACTATTGAATTCTTTAGGATGAACTACAATTTTTTAATACAACACCTTACATAAAATGATAAGGTAAAATATACGCAATACATTTACCACTAGGAAATTACGAAAACAATATATTTAAGATAATTAATAATTAAATACTAATTTAGGTAGGTAACATTAGTTTAAGAAGTTTAAATCATACCTATTTATACTTATAATATATTATATTATATAGGTATCTGATATTATTTAATATTATATAATATATGTATATATTTTATGAAGTATCTAGTACAAATCGCGTAAGTACAGGTAGATATTAAAAATATTACTGCTCCATTTACGTGTATGAATTTTATATTGACGCGATCTGTCATAGACGAAGGTTCATAAAATAATAAACACCGCTCCCGAATGAGCACAATCGTCGGCCGACTGCTGTCTATGGTCTAGTGGGCGTGGTATAAGCGTCGCGTGCTTGCGGATCGTAAAAACACGTAAAAGCGCACCCTCTCGGTCGTTCCTTATGTTTCGTTTGCGGTGTAGCGTCCTCTTAAAATTTTATTTGTTGGTTAAATAAGCTTGAAAATTTAATAGAAGGCTCCAAGTATATTGTTTCAAAGGTAGATGAAAAATATTAAAAATCCTTAGTCACAGTTTTTTTTATAAGCATTTAAAGTTCGAAAATTGACAAAATATGGAAAAATCACGGTTGCAGGAGTGTCGCTTTCGCGTTTGCACCGACGCTTGTCGACCTTGCCCAGCCGGCGAAGCCAGACCGAGATGGCCAAGGGAACAACCACTGTTGGCGGCGACGGACGGCGGCCAGTGCGCCATGTCGTGCGCGTATCGACGGTCGACGGAGTGACGATTCGGCCGACGGATGGCGAAGACCAAGACGCGGAGTGAGCGAATTAAGATTCTGTGCTGCGGAACCGGTTGGGACGAGCGAAGCGACCGACTTGGGATTACCGGGGGGCGAAAAGGCGAGAGTCAGTGGACCACAGAGTGATCCTTGACTCTCGGTAATTTTTACCCTGGCGTTGTCCTTTCGGCCGCCAGACCCTTAAACCGTTAAGTTTCTTGCGAGTCCGGCGCCGCTGTCGTCCCCGTGTTCCTAACACGCAAAACTCCGTACCACTCCCCCGTACCGAGGTCTCCGCCTCTGCCGTCGTACCGAGTCGCCATCGCTGTCGTACTTCTACTAGCCACCGTGTCGTCGCCGTCTTCCGTCGCTCCACGTGACCGTAACTGCGGTCAGGCTCTCGCCAAGCCGCCAGAGGGTCTCGCGCGTCATCGATGACCTAGCGCACCACGCCAGCGAACCCGCCTCGCCGCGGGTGCTGGTCGGAGAACGTGCGCGGGTGACTTACCGCCACGCACCGTCAGTGCTCTTTTTCGCATCCTCCCCTCCATTCCGCCGCCGTCTTCCTGTCTGTCGTCTTCGTTCAGGGGGCGAGCTGCGGACGTCTCATCATCGACAGAAGCAGCACAGCCGGCGGAACAAGCGTCTTGGTCCACCTCGTTGGAGCCGCATCGCAGATTGTGGGTGCTTCAGCCGCCGGGTCTAACCAACCGACCAGCTCACCAAAATCATTGAATCATCTGGAGGGCTCGATTTCTCCATCGACATCGTGATTTTTGTCGTGATTACATATATATTTTATTAATTATAATAATTATAAATGCGTAACATACGTAGTGTAGCTATTATCAATTATATTATCAATATACGCAAGATATTTTCTATCAATCTATTGCGGACCGTCTCTACAACTTACCGCTCCCGCTTTTTTTTTTTTTTTTTTTTCCATCCTACCAATCGATCTAATAATGCGATAGTATTTCTGAAAACATAAGTCAAATATTTTAATTATTATTTAAAATATAATACCATATTAATTATTATTATTATACACCAGGGGCGCAATTTGGTGGGTATAATATGCATCGGAGGCCCTATTTTCGCCGTATCATGAATTAATTGGAATAATTAATATAAGATAAAAATATTTTATAAATAAATGGATATATAAGTGTGTAAACGCTAATTTAGAACACTCAATATCTTTGAGTAGAACCTTGCATCTTGAATTCTGAATTCTTGTTGGTTGTTAATTGTTATAACATAAAAATACACATTTTATATCATTATAATCATCACATTATAATCTAAACATTTTTATGTATATTTTTTTACAATGGGTTTTAGTAAAAAAAAAAATGTTTGTTTAGATGCTAGTTTTTTAATCCGGTACTCTTAAGAGTAATATTCAAAGTTTTTAGTTAAAGTTGAATTTTTCAACTATGTATACAAAATGTAGGTGCACAATTTTAAAAAATAATTTGAATTATGGAAATTATCAAATACGCGAAGAATATAATTTGACTATAATTCCAAGATTTTCTCTATAACCCTCGTAAAATCATATTTAAAGACCTGACGAAGACTAAAAAACCTTCTTAAGTATCATTATTATTTAGTTATATATCAATATATCATAATAATATTTATTACTCGGCTTTTACATATTTTTTTTCCTCGTGGATGTTATTATCGGGCGTATATATTTGAGACCTTTGAAACATTTCCCGGAAGTGTGGACGAGAACTTTATTCAATATCAATATTTTATATTACATAATAAGTCTGGTCGGATACAACTTCCTTTGAAGAAAATATTTTCCTAATGTAATACCTGGAAAAAATACGCAGGACGTAACTCCAAATGTACCTATTTATAATATTTTATACCAATACGGACATACATCATGCGTTGCACGTGTATATATAGGTAACATGTTTATCCGTTCGAAATGTAGTTTATCGGTGTGAAGAAGATACGGTCCAAGCTGTTTCATCTTGCAGCTTATTAAAAAAAAAATCTTTAAATTGAATATATTATATACGAATATGGGAAATAAAATCATTGCATAGGTACATAATATATCTATATCAGTCGACAAAAACCCTATATTCAAAATGTACTTTATATCAATGTGAAAATTATATTTTAAAAAAGCTTTGTAGTTTGTATATATATTACTATAGCTGTCTTTCCTCAGGCAATATATTATTATATACTATGATACGTTACTCGTGGATAATAATATACTATAATAATATATATGTATTATGCTATATATTATATATATTATATAAGGTGACATTTAAAGTAATTGACTAACATTTTTGATGTAATATTATTATGTTCATTTAGGCGGTCAAATTAAAAAAATAACATTTTCGAATAACATAATATATTAAACATTATGACGTTAATACTGTTGCTATTAACGCTGCTGTTAGCAGTTGCTTCACAATATAGCTTATAATGTGTACAATTTCACTGTTTTTTCTCAATTTCCGCTCGGGCAGCGATGAAAATAAGGAAAATTAATCATTATATTATTTTCGGTAAGACTTCTGACTTAGAACACCTCATCAGTACATCGTCACATAACAAATATGGTCATTATTACATAGATGGTATATGTGCTATAGCATAGGTAAAACGGGTAGAATAGTGAATAGACAGAGGAGGAGCTAAGTTTTAAAATGTACTTTATTTAAATTTTTATATCTGGTCTGTGGTCACCATAAGTATGACGTATGGGTATGTTGTGTGCATAGGTATAAATGTATAATATTAATATAATATATATTAATATTATTAATGTAGTATATTATAATTTTTAATTAATTCTATTATATATAGAACTTTATTTAAGGGCCTAGTGTACCGTAGAATGTTTGGCCGTAGTGACTAATGTCACTAGCATCCGGATGGGTGATCACTCTGGTTTCTACCTCGCCCAGCATACACTTGAGTTCCTCAACCAACCACCAGTAATCCCCCACGAAATACTAATGGCCATAGTTTCCTATAGTTAAGAGTTTAAGACCAATAAAAGAAAAAAAAACATAGCATTATTTTAGATTCTGAGCGGAGCGATTCATTGATTTTATAATGATGTACCTATGTTATTTATTTGTTTATTATTTTTTATTTGTGTCTTTCATCACCTTTTAAGACAGTAAAAATGCTTGGAATTTCTTCAAAAGCATCTTTTCTGATGGGAAAGTGAATCTAGTGGTAGGTACTCTGGAGGGTTAAAAGTAAAAAAGGTGCTCTGCAGTACAGTAGGTTACAAGTGGGTCACTGTATAATGGATGGTATTAAATTTGAATTCAATGATATAATATCATTGTATAAGAAAAACGATTCTGAGTGAAAACGGTTAGTCAGCCTATGATATTACGAAGTATATTTGATGATACTAAGGTGAATAAAGTAATTTATATATAACCTATTTACATAGAATCTTGTTTTAAATTTTCAATCATAAGCTATAAAAGTAGAACATTTTATACATTTTTTACTACAAAATTATTATTAAATTTTAAATGTGATAAATTTTGTCAAAATTTGAACTTTAAATGCTTATAAAATATATATCAGGAGCCTTGTATTAAATTTTCACGCTTTTTTGCCCAACAAATAAAATTTTATTGATATTAATAGAAAAAAAAACTGAAAAAATTGGAAACTGAAAATGTCCGTAAAAAGCTCAAAAAGTCAAAATATTTTCAAAATTATATGGTCTATAGGAAATGCTAATATAAAACATTCAGTGGAATTTTCAAGTATCTACAGTCATTCGTTTTTTAATTACAACAAAATTAGAAAATCGTTACATGAGAAATATAGTGAAATTCCAAA